CTCATATTTTTCTCCTCCTTCCTCCTACCCTCAATATATGCCTTTCTCCCCTTGCTGAAGACATTTGTACTTGCCAAAACAAATCTCTTGTTACTTAAGGTTGTACCATTTTCTTAATTTATCAACCAATAAGGAAATAAACAATCATGTCTTGGTTTTATCTCCTTTAAAATCGAAATGGTTCAGTTATAGTTCATTTTAATGTTGCCTGAAATTCACCTGAGACACATTATTATTGCTTCTTCCACTGTGTCATGTGGTTTGTGTCTGAAATACATTCCAATACTGTGCAGAAAGAGAAAAGGCAAAGATCATTATTTAAAAACCCAAGCTTAAAAAAAAACAAGCTAAAAAACTACAAGTAATTTAGACATATTTTATATCTTGATAATTTCAAAACTGAGCTACTTTATGTTTCCCAGAATTACTTTCTTTGCTGGGTTCTGATTTAAACTTTCTCTAAGAGGATTTTGGATATGATTCTGAAAGGCCGGTGTAAAAGGCAGCTACACTGCACTCTGGATATCAGTATAAGGTCAACTGCTGCAGCTCATGCAGATTATTGATCTAAGGACTTAGCTTTCAGTAGACAGCAGCATTTAGACTTGGCTTCTCTAATTTTAACTAAGTTTCCTTTGTAATCTTCAATTCCTAAGCCAGATAGATTTAAACCATGTCAGAGTACACACTGTAGTCCACTCAGAAGCCTAATACTGATCAACATGGGAGAAATATGCAAGTTTGTCTTCATGGCTTCTGGCCTGTCAATTAACTTTCTAGCATATTTTTCCTCAAGAATCAGTTTTCTTTCTCTTGTGTTCCATTTGTTTTTGTTCCCTCCACTTTATGTCTACTTCTACCCCATATGTCTACTTCTACCCCATTAGTAGGAAACACTATGAAGTAGAATGCAGTAGAATGATTTTCTAATGTAATCCGGGAAAGAGCAAGGCCATCACTTTTGTAATATTTAATTTGTAAACTAGGAATTCACCAAATTCAGCCAGCATTGAAAAGGAGAAAATTATAAAAGACAAGCATACCATAGCAGAGTTCACTGGAAGCTGCCTACCATACCAGTTTTTTGTTTGTTTGTTTGTTTTTTGTCGGTTTTGGGCCTGAACTCTGGGCCTGGGTGCTGTCCCTCAGCTCTTCAGCTCAAGGTTAGCCCTCTACCACTTGAGCTACAGTGCCACTTCTGGCTTTTTTCTTTTTGCTTATGTGGTGCTGAGGAATTGAACCCAGGGCCTCATGCATGCAAGGCAAGCACTCTACCACTGAGCCACCTTCCCATCCCCTACCATACCCTTTTAAACAGACCTTTGAAGCCTGTGCTATGAAACACCCTTTCGTGTATAGAAACAGAACTTCTAAAGAATTTGTAGAATTTTCTCCTATCTTTCTAGGTTTTAATCTCTTTCATAGCATAAATTATGAATGTGTGTATGGAAGATAAATATAAAGAACAATCCATAGGAAGGAGGACTTAGACCTAAGCAGAAAATGCTAACACATGCCAGGCCATCTTTCAGAATTACTACAGACAAGTGACTGCTTTGTGTCTTCCACTTTCCTACCTCTCCTTAAGCACAAATATCTGTAAAGGTTCTCTTTCGCTCATTTTACTATCTAATGCTGTAAGTGTTGAGGAAGATGATGTGTTCACTCATTTCATGGGCTTTCAAACCTGAAAGAATATGTTCAAGAAATTATACTTGAGTGGTACCGTCCACATCTGAATTAGACTCAGATGGCAAGATCTTGGCTCTTGAGACTGACCTGAGTCTGATGATATTTTTAGAGAAATTCTGGAATGAAGTTGTTTTGCATATAAGGGTAAAAAATAAATACTATGTAGCCAGAAAGTGGATTGCACTGAAAGTTTTAAAAACTGCATGCAATTTTTAAAAACTCTATTAAGAATTTGCACTTATATTCTGTTCTGTCACCCCCAGGTGTGGGCTTAGGTTCCCACCAAGAGAATATAGAAGAAGTAATCTTATGCGTCTGCCAAGACTAGGAGCCTCCTTGGCTCAAATATTCAATCATGGATCCTGAGAGTTCTGGGAAAGAATCTGACAGTTTCAATGATACTATGATGTAGGGAATGTAAGCCATAACATGACAAATTTAGACTATATGGTCTGCAGTCCTATTTGTTGAGTAGCTAAGTAGTTCCAGCTCAGGCACGAAGTACGCACATGAACAGCCTTCAGGTTACTTCAGTGCCCAGTCATTAAATTACCCCTAGTCTTTAAGTTTTTGCAACCAATGTCCAAAATATTGTCCTAGAGAGAAAGAACTTCCTAGCCATATATTCACCAATAGGATCTTGGAGAAAAATAAGATGGCCTCTCAGTGCCTAGGTTTTGAGATAATTTAGAATAGAGTCAGAGAAACCAGGACTAATCCAGGAAAAACATCATAAGTAAATTGTGAATAAAATAAATATTTATGGGCTCTATGTAGTTAGGGGGAAGGCAGACAATATTCAGTATGTTTCTAATTATTTTAGAACCTGGATGAATGAGAAAAATATAAGTGCTTCTAGCATAATGTCTAACAATAAAGAATAAGAATTTAATATTAATCCAAGAGATATATGTAAATATTTATTTCCAACTGATTATTATCAATGAACTACTAGCATAAAGACCTGATCCAATGTTTTAAAACTTTATATATCTATGATCCAACTCCTTTTTTTTAATTTAAAAAAGGGATGTGTTTTATTGTTTGAAGTCATGGAAATCTAGACAGAATGGAACCTCAAACTGAAGGCTTTTTTTTTAAAGCTAGAATCTTCTTATTTTCACTTCTACATTCTCCTTCCTACAGACATTTTAATATTTATGGAAAGATTAAGAAACCACAATTATGAAAATTTGTTCCAACATGGAAAAATCTCAAGAACAAAAACAGCCTTATATCTTAAAAAAGACAGATTAGAAACCATTTAATGATTAAGAATATATTTGAATAACGTTCTGAATTTCTCTGTGTATATCTTTAATTCATAAAAATGAAAATTAAAGTTAGATTAATAAAGCACTTCGTCTTGGTAAAGGTTAGTCTTTCTTCAAATACATTGAAGTTTGATCAACCATTCTTACTTCAGGATTGCAAATAAAAAAAGAAAGGACAGATACTGGATTTAATTGGTACAAGTCTAATACAAATGCCATTAATACATAATGTTCAAAACTAAAAAATAATTAAGCCCCTTTTACTTTTCATAGAGATAGTAATGGTAGCTCTCAACCAAGTAACAGTAATCATTTCATAACTACCAGGTAAATAAGCTATCTTATTTACTCTCAAAGACAAGTTTCTAAAGCAAATATGACTTTATATTGCCTTTTTCTACAAATGTAAAAGCTATTAATCAAGAAAAGTAAAGTAATTTTCCAAAGGTCACTTAGCTAGAAATTAGTGGAGCTGAGATTATATGATGGTCTAATATCTCATATTTGTAACTTTATAAATGACTGCAAATGAAACACAATAAAAAAATTACATGTGGGCTCCATATGACATGGCAAATCACAGGCAGAATTTACCTGGTGTATTCTTAGTTGGCTTTTATCTCTATCTACATAGGGTTTATTTTTAATTACAACTATTGACCTCATTTGAGAATGCCATAGCTATGATATCTACACAGTTCTACTCTCCACCAATCATTACATGAGTTTTATACCTCTATGTTTTGGAATCATTAAAATATATACATGGAAAAACATGGTACATAGAAACTAAATGCAAATAAAAATAGTTTAAAAATTTTAGAAATTCTTTAAGCAAGTTATGCTAATCTTTTTTAAAAATGGTTCTTCTATGTACAATACATAATCTTTAAAAATACTACTCTAAAAAAACAAAACTCTTTGGTTCAGCAAAAGGACTCTTAAGTGTGGAAATGCAGTTCGTTAAGGATTCACTTTCTTGGTTAAGTTTTACTTCTCCAGCTTAACTTTTCAGCAAGCACACAGCTAACTTTCTCTGCATGATGCAAATATGTGCCTGGAGTGGGAGTAGGTTGCTTTGCACATAAACTACTTTCATATAAAAATATAAGCTGACGTTTGAAAAATGTGGGAAATCAGACATTAGTTTTACTTGCCGGGTTAAAAAAAAATACAACAAGCAGCTCTGCTTCTTACCCATTTTGAAAGGAGGCTAAGAGAGGGATCATGGTCAATACAAATAAGCATTCATAAGAAAAGTTCTTAGGTACTGGTGTCCAACTACTGGGTGTATCCTGTTTATTGTTTGAAAGGTTGCAAGGAGGAGTCAAGAAAAGGCCATATCCTGGGTATTTTTTTTTCTTTCTAAAATGCTACCACTTCTCCAATAGCTTGTGTTAAAATTATCAATATATGCATGACTCAAATGTCTCTAAAATGATCCATTAACTCTACAGTGAATATAATGCATCAACACTTGCCAGGGGACTTCTCACTAAAAGTTAACAGTGATAATACTGTATTTTTTTTTGCTTTATTAATAGCAACAATAACAAAATTGGTCAAAATACCTCAGAGTTTAAAAGACTCTACAACTTTGCCTACTAATATGTATTCTTTTATCTTTAATGAAAAGCCTTTATTCCATTTTAATGTTTTTTCTACTTTGGTAGTGAATTTTAGTATGGCCTTTCCCAGGGCTTACTGTTCATTTAAGCATACACTATAACTGCTTTTAATAAAGTTTTTGAAAAATTTCTGAGGTATCACAAATGGTTACAGGAGAAAAATATTTCCCTTATATGTTTTCCTTTCTTCTTTAATAAAATACAATTACTTAGTTGGATTAATTGACTTGATTTTATCAAGAATTAGTATCATTATGGAATATTCAAATTTACCTTTTAGACTAGAATCAAAAGACTTTCAGTCATTTTTCCAAGCTTTCTAGGTTGAAAGAAGATGAAAGTCAAGTCTAAAAACCACCATTTTAAGATATATTCATGCATACATAGAGTTGTTGAGTGATGAGGATATGTTTCAAAATTTATTTGCATTCCTCTTTCTGTTTGCATGACTTAATCATTCATGTACAAGCTCCTTGTGAAAATTCACTGGGACTGAGACAAAAATGGCATAATTTGGGAAGACAGTAGATTTCAGAGAATACTATGCCACTGCAACAAAAATGGTTTTGATTGTAGAAAAGAGAGGCGAATAACCTTTAACATCTGACTGTAATAATGAATATTCACAGCATCTAAATGAGACTTCATCACTCAGAGATATATCTACCCATTCTCCACCTCTTATGCAGAGATTTCTTGTCCTTCATGGTGTTCCAAAAGTTCATATAATACTTTGAAGCGAGAAATAATCAGTGTTGGGTTACTGATCCATATAGTCCTCTTCTAAGGTATAACAGCAGTAATCGCCTTGTCTTCTGTCAGAAGTCTTTATCCCAGCCTGACATCTCATCGGGTGGTACTCCCTTTTCAGGCGGATACTTGTCAAAGTAGCTGTGATCTATGGGTCCACTGATCTAATACAGAAAAAGTTGAACCAAAGACCAAGATAATGTTGACTAAGCATATTACAATTGAGCTGAAGCCTTTTCTTTTGTCTTATATATTTTATTATCTTTAAGTAGTTGTATAAAAGGAGTTACCATTCAACAAACCAGTTTATAAGTACAATGTATCTTAATTGATGTCACCCTTTCAGGGTGATGCTTTTACTAGCTGAACCTTGATTTCATGATATAGACTCTTGTAAATTGTAGCTAATGAATAAAATGGTTCATTACTATCATGTAGTCAGAGTCTTAGCCTTGTGAGCTCCCCTTCCTCATTAGAAACAAATGTTTTAGTCATTAGACTAATTCATGAGGAGATATCTGGTATGACGAGTTATTTTCTAAAAAACTATGCCAGCAATAATACATACTTTTTATCAGATTTAAAAATATTTTAAGTAAATATTAAAAATTCTGTTTAAGATTTACACCTTCTACTTTTTAGAAGCTTCTGACCAATAGTGAATTTTTATATGGCTAACTCATTCCTGTAAATTAAGTAATTTATAATTAAGGGGTAATTAAGATATTTATGAGCTTGTTAAAAGATGAAAGAACAGTCTGGTATTAAATTATTTTGCAAGTCAGGTAGCTTCAAATCCCTTTCTTTCCAGAAAAATTCAATAGTACCTAACTAAATAATAGATGACAAATCATTAAAAATACTCTATGTGATAGGTCATAATGTGTACGGAGAAATCATTCAGAAGTTCACACGACTCAGCCATTGTGTACAGCTAGTGAATGTACAAAGCTGAATTGTCAAGTTCAACACGCTATCGCTTCATGCTAACATTTTTTTTCTGAAAGAAACATGAAAGTCTCATGGTGTACATTTGGAAACTGACACCTGATTTTTTTTTTTAAATAAAAGACTAAATAGTGGTGGGTGTCAGTGGCCTCATGCCTGTAACCCTAGCTACTCAGAGGCTGAGATCTGAGGATTATAGTTCAAAGCCAGGCAGCATAGGCAGGAAAGTCTGTGAGATTAACCAATAAAAACTGAAAATGGAGTTGTGGTTCAAATGATAGAGTGCTAGCCTTGAAATAAAAATCAACCAAAAGAAATGGTATAAACAGTATGGAGAATGAACACTTCTGTGATTATTGACACTGTCAAAACATTACCATAACTTCAATGAAATATATCTAGTATGATCTAAATACCACCAAGATTTGACATCCATCTTTTAAACAGTAGAAATTTAAATAGTAGAAATTTCATATCCTTTTGTTCTCTTTTTGTTTTACTTATAAAATCCATCTTAATGTAACAGCATTTATGCTTGACAATATTACTTGATCATCTTTAAGAGTCTTGCATTTTAGCTTATATTTTCAATTTCTGTGACAAGTATTTTTCCTAGAGTGATATAATTATGGTTTGAATAGCATACAATATCATATGACATAAATAATCACAATCTCCTAAAAGTAATTCTTAAATAAGACATTTTATCTGCTTGTCTGTCCAACTCCATTTTGGGACATAAGTGGCATTGCCATTTAATTAGTTCTTGAAAAGTGACTTCACACTCATCAAAGAAGCAATATTATTGAATCTCTATACTCTGAATTACTAGTAAATTTTCACTTTTATTTAATTTAAACACTTTTAAACTGCCTTTTGCTTTATTTTTATTTCATAATTCTACCTCGCTTTCTCACATATTTGAATATTGATTATTGAGGAATTGACTACTGAGAAATTTAGCAACATATCATTCTTCTATTAAAGGATTCAGCCTGATAACTGTCCAAGAAGCACAGTGACTCACCCAAATCACAGTTACAAGAATCAGAGACCTTAGACCTTAACACCTAGATCTTTTCTATAATACAGGCCTTTCTCAGTTTGCCTCTTTCCTAATAAGATTTCCCCCCCCCCACCCCCAACATGTGTCAAACTGTATCTTTAAAAAATATTGTATTAATTAATTTATTATCTCTAAGTTGCCTTTTAACCAAGCAGTTTATGAATATATGTATCTTGGTCAACGTCATCCCTTCCAATGTTCTCACCTATCCCTTCCCTACATACCCCTTCCCTCACCCTTCTTAATTTTGTCCAATAAACAACAAATTCTTGACTGCATTCTCCCCTTTTTCCTCTCTTTATTCTTCTACTCTATTTTTCTTGAAAGAGGTGGGGTGGGGTCAAGTGAAAAACACTTTTAAGGAACCACCTAGATATGGTACGCATGTGCATGGACACACAGACACATCTGCCTTTCACACCCCCCTCCCTAAAATCTGTTTGGAAAAACAAATTCCGAGGACAAAATCAAGAAAGTAATATAGTAAATACCATACCTCTCTTCGTAAAGGTGATGGAAGGTTCCTTGCCTTCAGTCCCTCCCAGTTGAACCCATTTAGCCACCTGAGGAATGAGAGAATGTTGCTTATTTAATAAACTATTAGCAAGCTATGTATTCATCCATTTATATATTTCTCTACCTGATTTATCTATTTATCCTCTCTCTCTCTCTCTCTCTCTCTCTCTCTCTCTCTCTCTCTAACTGTTGACCAGTCTTTGCTTCCACTTAGGATCAGTTCTTCTTCTGTATACTTGACTCCATTGCCTCTTTTCTATTCAAATCCATATTCAAATTCTCCTTTCTCCAGTCTTTGTTCCTGGATCATTACCACCAATATAGAAACACCATAAACACCAAACCCCATCTTTAACCTCAGTTCCCTTCTCTCAGTCCATTTCTCTCTTTCCCATAGTAGGAGAAAATCCTTGCAAGGGTTAACTACTCTACATATCCATTTTTCTGTTGATTATGCTACAGTCTGGTTTCATTCCCTCCAACTCACCAAGTCACCTTGAGTCTCAGTTTTCCTTTTACTTGCTAAAATGCTTCGTTCATCTGACTTCCACATTCTACTGTCTGAGTGTTATGCTTCATCCACTGTTATTTCCTGTTGAAGCGGGTGTGCTCCAGAACCCAGTCCTTCTCTTTTCAGTCACCCTTGTTTCCTGTATTAATCTCATTCAGTCTCATGGTTTTCAATAACATTTACATTCTAATGTCCCTCTTCCCACTTAGGAGCTTCTCAGTGGTTTAACAAGCTTCCATCTGCAAATGTTGTTATCTCTGTTGTTTAAGAGGCAACTAGCATATACATATCATACTCAGATTGGAGCTCCACATTTTCTCCAGCCAACTTGCTTCACCCATTAGCCACCCCAGCATGCTAAGGACTCTCCCACTTTAAGGCCTCTGCACCCAATGATGGACTATTCTTTATCTCTCAGTATCTTCAGGTCTTGCCTCAAAGGTCATCCTCATAGCAGGGGCTTTTTAAGCCATCTACTATAATATTACAACCTTTCTCACCTGCTTCTCAATACCTTACCATTCTTCTCAGCCTTATTTTTATCTCATTACCTATCTCATGAACTGTCTAGCTCATCTTGTTGATTTCTTTGGCTTATCTTACTTTCTATTCTTCTTCTAGGCTATAAGCTCCAACTCAGCAAGGAGTTTTATCCTTTTCCTTAATACTTGAGGAAGTATGAGACACAGAATAGGGCTCAATAAATATCTGTAGAATCTTAAGCAGGAGCACAAACTTGCACAGGAGTGGCTACTATATAAGGGTATAATACCACAATGACATGGGAATGATGTCCCTGCTAATGTGAATATAAAAAGCTGCAAGACAGTGGAAAAACCTCCCATGCTCCCAGATTAGAAGGATTAACATTGTGAAGATGTCAATACTGCCAAAAGCTATCTATAAATTCAATGTGATACCTATCAATATTCCAACCTCATTCTTCAATGAAATAGAAGAAGCAATCCAAAAATTAATATGAAACAATAAAAGACCCCAAACAACAAAAACAATCCTTAGTAGAAAGAACAATGCTAGGGGAATATCAACCAAATTTCAAACTCTACTTCAAAGCCATAGTAATAAAAACAGCTTCCTACTGGCTCAAGAACAGACCTGGGAAGCAATGGAATAGTACTGGAGACCCAGAAATGAACCCACAGACCTATAGCCACCTAATCTTTGACAAGGGAGCTAAAGAAATAGAATGGAAGACAGCCTTTTTAGTAACTGGTGCTGGCGAAATTGGTTAAACACCTGTAGAAAACTAAAGCTATATCTGTATATATCACCTTGCACCAGAATCAACTCCAAATGGATCAAAGACCTCAAGACACCCTGAAAACATTACAGGAAGAAATAGAAGAAACTCTAGGACTCCTTGGCACAGGTCAAAATTTTCTTAATAGACATCCAGAAACAACAAATCAAGAAAGGTTGGACAAATGGGATTACATGAAGCTGCAGAGCTTCTGCAAGGCAAAGGACATAGCTAGCAAGATCAATTAAAAAGCCCATGGACTGGGAAAAGATCTTCACTAGTGTACAACACACAGAGTCTCATATCTAAAATACTTAGAACTCAAAAATCTAAATCCTACAATAACAAATCCTCAATTAAACAACTGCCCGATAAATAAGTGGGCTAAAAACTTAAAGAGACTCTTCTCTGAAGAGGAAATAAGAATGGCCAGTAGACATATGAAGAAATGCTGAACAACTCTAGCCATACAAAAAAGGCAAATCAAGACAGCATTGAGATTCCACCTCACCCCAGTCAGAATGGCAATAATCAAGAAATCTAGAAACAACAAATGCTGGAGGGGATGTAGCCAAAAGGGAACCCTACTTCATTGTTGGTGAGAGTGTAAACTTGTTCAACCACTTTGGAAAGCTGTATGGAGGTTCCTCAAAAGACTCCACATAGAGCTCCCCCATGACCCAGCAATCCCACTTTTGGGCACTTACCCAAATGATCACAAACAAGGTCATACCAAAGCTACCAGTACAACCATGTTTATCACAGCATTATTTACCATAGCTAAGATATGGAAACAACCTCAATGCCCCTCAGATGAATGGATCAAGAAAATGTGGTGTATATACACAATGGAATTCTATGCCTCCATCAAAAAGAAAGACATTGCCCCATTTGTTAGGAAATGTAAAAACTTGGAAAAAAATTATATTAAGTGAAGTAAGCCAGGCCCAAAGAAACATAGGTTCCATGGTTTCCCTTGTTTGCAATGTCTAGTACAAGTCTATGACAAACAGAGAAGGTCAAAAGCTATGTACATATGATCACATGAGATAATGTTAAGCAAAATGTACCACAAGATAGGGTCACAAGGAGTTTTTTTTTTCTTGCTTGCTATTGTTTTTAATGTACTTATAATTCACTATGTGATTCTTTTGTTTCTCCTGTAAGTTCCTCCCCCATGGCATAACCCCTGTTTTCACTGTATTTGATTCCGGTGTTCTGCATCTTGTATATACATTTTTGAAATTCAGGGAGGGGAAGGGGTATAGCGGAATACTTAAATGGGGATGCAGTTTGACCTATTGTGATGATAAGATATACAGGACACTATGTTGAAAATGAACTTTACAATGTTGAGTGGGGATGGGAGGAGTTGGGGATGTGGGGAGGGAAGTGGTGGTGGGGGAAAATCAAAGGAGGAGATGACAATGCTCCATAGGAAATGTACTCATTACCCTACTCATGTAATTGCAACCCCTCTGTACAGTATCTTTACAATTAAAAAATTTGCAAGACAAGGGAGTATTTTATAGTGATATTTTAAAATGCAGAACTAAGTTGATAAGAAGATGAAGCTTTTCCTTACTTCTATAACATTTATCCCAAAGGACTATTCTCATATATATATTATATACACATATATGATACACATATTATATATATATTTATAAAAAGTTTGCTAGACTATAAATGCAATACCAAAAATCTGGAGGCCTCACTTCTCTTAAACACAATCTCTCTCTGTTTGTCTCTGTCTATCTGTCTCTCAACCTCTTCTCAGAATTTTATAAATAATGTGGAATAATACACTTCTGTATCCACTGATCTTTTCTGTGGCGATACTGAGGTCAGCCAATAAAAATTTATGACAAATGAAGGAAGAAAGGGGGGAAGTGGCACTGTGGCTCAAGTGGTAGAGTGTTTGCCTTGAGCTAAAGAGCTCAGGGACAGTGCCAAGACCCAGAGTTAAAGCCCCATGACTGACAAAAATAAATAAAAAATAAAATAAATAAAATAAAAAAGGAAGAAAGGGAGAAGAGAATGCAGTCATAAAATTCAATGTAAAAAATTTTCAAAAGTAAGGAAATAACCAACTCTTTAAAAATTCAATGCATATCCTACAAAATTAAGAAAACTGTGGGAAGTGGTGGAGTTGAGAGGGACGGAGGAGAATTATGAAAGGAGTGACATTGATCAAGATGCATTGTGTTCATCATAAACTGCTTTGTTGAATGGCAACTCCTCTGTGCAACTACTTTAAGATAATTTAAAAAATTATCTTAAGACAAGTTGGTTTCACATATCAAAAATGCAAAGATCTTACATTATAAATGTTTTCATTTGGTGGGAGACAACAGACAAAAATCCAAGTAAATAATATAAAACATTTAGTTTTATATACTAACAAGTATGACAAAGTGGTAGATGATGGCTGGATAAGAAAACCAGGGTTATACCATGGGGGAAGAACATACAAAAGAAACAAAAATAATTACATAGTACATTAAAAACAACAACAACAACAAATATAAGACCTCTTGTGTCCCTATCTTGGGGTTCATTTCGCTTAGCATCATCTTATACAATCGTATGTACATAGCTTTTGACCTTGTACTATGTGATTTTTTTTTTTTTTTGCTTCTTTTGTATGTTCTTCCCCTGTAGTATAACCCCTGTTTTTACTGTATTTGATTCCGGTGCCCTGCATCTTGAATATACATTTTTCTAATTTGGGGAGGGGAAGGGAAATAGCAAAATACTGAAACAAGGATATAGGCTGACCCATTGTAACCATGAGATGTACAAGACACTATGTTGAAAACAAACTTTACAACTTGGGGGAGAGGGAGGAGTTAAGGAGGTGAGGAGGGAAGGGATGATAGGGGAAAAACAAAGAAAAGGATAACAATGCTCAATAGGAAATGTACTCATTACCTTACTCATGAAACTGTAGCACCTTTATACAATATCTTTACAATAACATAACTTTGCAATAATATGTATATAATATACATATATGAAGAAGTAAGTTGGAGGTGTTGATTTAGGCTAGGTTGTTATTTAAAGAAGTGATATTTGAATTAAAACTATATAAAGAAAAGAGTGATGTAATTAGAAGATCCAAGGCAATGACTTTCCAGATAGGAAAAACTAAAATATAAATGTAAAGAAAATGGGGGTGGGGGAATGAAAAATAAAAGAGTATCTGAGAAATGGCCAAAGGCCAGTCCATGTTCAGATGTTTTAGGACATAGTAAGGAATCAAAATCTTTTGATGTAATGGAAGACAGTTCAAAATTCTAAGGAAATGGTTCATCATCTTGGGAGAGAAATCTGGCTCTGTCAAGGGTGGTGGGGAGAGTGGGCAATGAGGGTAGGCTGCTGGGCAAGATAACTGAGACTAGGGACTTGTGTCATTCCAGGGAAACAGTTCTCTCCCACCTCTCTCAACCTCTCTTCACCCCTGACTGAGTGTAAGTGAAGTCCTTGACTGGATTTCCATATCCAAGTCTAAGTTTAGCAGTTGAAAAGGAACTAAAAACAGAGAAGGCTGACTCTAGTACATTCCATTTTAGTTACCATTTTGGTAGAAGCTGCTGGAACTCCAGTCAAAGAGTAAGAGTCAGACAACAACCCAGCTGTTTTATGTCCTTCTTCTGTCCTTGCTGGCAAACCACAGAGGTTCTGTTCTAGCTCCAACCATTACCCTTCACACAGGCTGAAGCTCCATTTTCAGGGATTTCTAGGTACACAGTTCGGTGGACTCTGGCCACGGAGTATGGCAATCATTCCTTATAATGTATTTTCACAATGATCTCTACCCAGTAGGTGTTCCCAACAATATTAATAGCAGTGATTTTTTTATTAATCCGCTAAATCAGGTAGCAGAACATTTCTTATGGTGGCGTACTTGTTGCAATTTGACTTATGTCAATATTTACTTAACATGAGTGGCCATTCACTTAACACTTGGAGTTTTGACACTAACCACATTTTAAGTAACCCAAATGCCAGCATGTGCTCTTGTGTGGAAAATATTCGCCAGAAATTATTAGCATCAGCAGCTCATAAATTGCTTCTTTGTTTTTGAGAGAGTTGTAGACATTATTCTTAAAAGTAAAAATAATCTTATAATACTGGGAGCAAATCATTCCTATTCTTATCAAGAAAGGATTAATTGTACCCAGGTTCTTTAGTCTTTTTTAAAAATAGGTATTGAGAGACATGTCCAGTATTTAGTTACAGTGCACAGGGAAGAGAAAAGCTCTGTAATTATTTTTAAGACAAATAGTTTAACATAAAGTGGGAAAATATACATAACAATATGGCATAATTAGCCATATCGCTGTTAAATAGAAAACTAAATGAATTGTTCTCTATGAAAAAATAGTTTAGGGAAAAATGAAAAACTCTAATGTCAAACCTTAAGAATATTCCTTTTCAATTCTGGTGGCAAGATTATAAATCTTTTGTTTTAATTAAAATCCATTATTTGGAGAAGGGGGCAACTATCTTTTTCCCTAGCTCCCTCCTAACTTTATAGTTTAAGTAGCATGAAAATAGGAAAATAGAATAATAGCCTGTTTCTGAGCTCAGAAAATGCACTATAAAGTTGTTGTATCTTATTAGCCAAATCAACCCAGCACTCTGCACACTTATTCCACTGCCACACATAGCAAATGCAGTCTTGCTTAGTAAGGATAGGCAAATTAATCCCAATAAGGAAGGGTATTCAGAGTCTTTTATTATAATGCTTAGGTGAGGAAATCCTTTAGCATCCATTTGCATGTTTATCCAATCACAATCTGACAGCTACATTTAAATGAGTGTCAGGTAAATAAGAAAAAAATAGGATAATGCTAGGTGGAGGCTGTTAACAATTATATCACTTCTGTTTCCCAACTACCTCAGAGCTAGACATGCAAACTAGTTAATGAAGGGAAAGAGGGCAATATATGGGACAAATCACTTTAATTGATGGGACACTTGTTTCCTCGAATGGTATGTTGATGTGTCATTTTATAATGAGAGAGGAAACTGCAAGCACTCTGATGTCTATAAAATTCACAAATATGCCTGTCTTTTCCTCTCTTCTCTGTCCCTCCCTCCTTTTAATTCATTCTGAAGGCAGAGCTCCACACAAGTTTACAATGTTGAATACATGGCTTTATTTCAAGGAAGTTCATGAATACATAGAGGATAGTTGACAGCTTGGGGGTTTATTTAATTATTTATCTAGAGGCTGTGCTGCTACTGTTAAGGAAAATGAATAGTGTTTCTATTCAGTAGCCACCTCGCTCCCTTTTGCTTCACTCTGTGCTCCTAATTCTTCAGTGAAAATATCCACAGAAGGCTGGGGAGTGTAGTTCACTGATAGTGTGTGCTTAGCATGCATGAAACCTGGGTTCCATCCCTAGTGCCAAAAGAAATTTAAAACAGAAAAAAAGAAGACAAAGAAGGCAAAGAAGGCAAGGAAGGCAAGGAAGGAGGAGGAGGAGGAGGAGGAGGAGGAGGAGGAGGAGGAGGAGGAGGAGGAGGAGGAGGAGGAGGGGGGGGGGGGAGGAGGAGGAGGAGGAGGAGGAGGAGGAGGAGGAGGAGGAGGAGGAGGAGGAGGAGGAGGAGGGGGGGGGGGGAGGAGGAGGAGGAGGAGGAGGAGGAGGAGGAGGAGGAGGAGGAGGAGGAGGAGGAGGAGGAGGAGGAGGAGGAGGAGGAGGAGGAGGAGGAGGAGGAGGAGGAGGAGGAGGAGGAGGAGGAGGAGGAGGAGGAGGAGGAGGAGGAGGAGGAGGAGGAGGAGGAGGAGGAGGAGGAGGAGGAGGAGGAGGAGGAGGAGGAGGAAAAAAACAATCCATAGAGGACGGACTCAGCTATTTTGGAGGCATTTGCATTTCTTAAGGTGAACACATCTGTGTTGTCAAAGGTTTTCATAATGAAATTCTCAGTTTTATTTTTGTTACCATCAATGTATTTTCGAAGTGATATTTTCTGTCAATTATAAACAAAATGATTACAGGACTTCCTCAGACACTTACTTTCAAACAACAAATGCTCCATGGCTTAAAGAGCCATATTTGACACTGGTGGCTCAAGCCTGTAATCCTAGCTACTCAGGAGGCTGAGATCTGAGGATCACACTTTAAAGCCAACCCAGGCAGGAAAGTCTATGAGACTTTTGTCTCCAATAAACCACCAGAAAACCAGAAGTGGTGCTGTGGCTCAAGTGGTAGAACATTCACTCACCTTGAGCTGAAGAGCTCAGGGACAATGCCCAGGCCCAGAGTTCAAGGCCCATGACTGACCAAAGAAAAAAAAAAAGAGCCATGTTTGAATATTTAACCAAATGAGCAAGGATGTTCCCAAGGATTCTGAAGGCCTTTAGAAATTCATATGACTAGAAATGGCATGTTAGATTACTGCATAGGGAAAACGCATTGTTTGAGATTTTGTGTAAACCAATGTACTTTGCCCCCAAAAGTAAAAATCAGCATGAGGCTTCAAATATATAATATGAATTAAAACCCAAATAAAATACAAATGACTTATGATGAAGTTTTATATTGATAAACTCTTTGTAAGTTGGAAGTGCCCTAAATAGAAATACACTTAACTTACCAAATACCCTGGCTAACATAACAATGTACCCTAAAATTGGTTACTTTTCCTCCCAATTGTGATGTGGGTGGATGTGAGCTGTGCCCAGCACCTCAGGACACAATTTTAACACTTATCACTGGTCCAAAGGAAGATCAAAATCAAAACTTGTCATATAATTTCTTCTACGTGCATATTGCTCTTCCACTACTTGTCATATAATTTTTTCTACGTGCATATTGCTCTTCTACTAATGTGACCTCAAAATTCTCCTTAGCACTATATAGTAGTTGATTGAGCTGGCATAGTCTCTGGAATATTAACAACAATAATTTGAATCTCTTTTAATTTACCCATTCAAAGTCATAATTAAAACTCAATTCCTTCACAGAATCCTAATTAATATTTGAAGATAATTATAAGAACAGCAGTGGATACAATGTAATTTTATAACTTCTTTTATGACTCACTCATTCTTGATATGAATTTAAAAAGTGTTTGGAGATTGATTACAATAACTATAGTAAAACTAGTAAAATATCAAGGAGAAAGCAAAATGCCATGAAGGCAAAACTGAGTCTATAAAGAGAACATTGTCATTTATAAAAAGAAGCTACCAAGATTAGTATATTATTCTATCAATTGCTATATTTTTTTTTCTGGCCAAAGTAGTAACTATATACCTGTGCTTCTTTATGTCATTGATTCCATTCTTCAGATTTCCCAGTCTTTCTGTTGGATTTTGCCTGAAATGATAATTTTCCAAAGGCACTTTATAATATACTTATTTTTTGGTTAATTTAGTCACTCAAAACCATTCATCAAGTTTTTACCATGGGTTAGATGTCTGAGTAAAGGAATATGAATATATTGCCCCTAATTGAGTTAGTCCTTCAAGTAAACTATTAGTAATGCTTACTAAGCCCTATTTTACATAAGGACTTAGTCCTTAAGTCCATAAGTCCATGAATCCTATTTTACATAAGTCTACTCTAGAATTCCTCAGCTTTGCTGAGGAAAACTGGGAGAGTTTTACAGAATCACTTACATCTAAACATGCAGAAATTCCATGTTCAAAGTTTATGAACTTTCAATGCTTTATTGTTCAAATATGAGGGAAAGCAGCAGCACAATAGGCTTTAAGCCCCACCCCGCAAAATAAAACGTGAGCCTTCAATTTTCTGATAAATGATTTTCAGTAGTAAAACGAATCTGGAACACTCAAAGTAAGATAGAAAAGTACTCTTTAAAAAGAAAAAAAAGAAGCAGAGATTGAAAGAAGCGCATGTAGTAACACTATTATATCACTGATTTTTTTCTCAAGATTGTAAGTTAATTCATTCATTTTAAACCAAGATGTGTCCTTCTATTTTGTTCATAACAGTTCTATAAGATGATTTGCAAATGTAGTTTGCAAAACCGAATCCTTATACAGTGATTCTGTGACATGAGATAAACTTAGATGGTAAAATAGAAACAGCCTTACTTTAAATATAATTTGGCAACACAGAAAAGCACAATAAGAAAATGTATAGAACTGAAACCCGCAAGCCTTAACATTTTCTCCAAAGCAAGCAGATTCTAGGGGTTATTCTCACCTGCAAAGTCTCCTGATCAAATCCTCAGGCCGCCTTGTTATCTTTCTGGGAAAATCCATTTTTTCAATTCCTTTTAGAATTAAATTGTAGGTCATCATTTGGTCAATTCCAGAAAAGGGTGGGCTAGAGAAAATTCAAAATAAAACACACTAAAACCATATTCTATGTCTCTGGTTTCTTCCTTCCTCTTCCTCTGCCTGCCTCTCTGTCCTTCCTTCTATCTTTCCCTTTTTCTCTTTTCCATTCCCCTTCTCCTCGACTTTCCTCCCCTTTTCTTTCTCTCTTTCCTTCTCTTCCTTTTCTCTCACTTTATCACCAATTGTTTTATGAGAAATTTAAAATATGCTAGAAAGTAATTTCATTAATCTCATATCACATAATGGATGCATTTAAAGTGTAATTTGGTATCTAAAAATAAAATTAACACACACAGCATGACAGAAGAAAAGTGTGATTGTTTTTTAGCTACAGTGAAATAGGAATAAAAAAATCCTTCTCCTGAGCTGACAGTGGAACAGAGGTGTTAGTAAAGAGAAGGAATAAGCTACACTGTTATCTGTGGGCTGGAAACAGGAAGTAAAAAGGCATCATTTAGGAATGGGCTAGAGTGTTCTGGAACTATAAGGTGGGCAGGTGACTGGTGGAGTGGATAAGCAGAAAAGAGGTATAAGGAACACCAGTAACATCATATAACACTAGTGGGATCTGGGAGTATTTTCTGAGCCATGATCTAATTTATAGCAACCAGAGTAATCTTTTTCTTTTTTTAATTCACAAGGAGTAAACTGTGATGTAGGGATGGTCAAAGGCCTGATAGCTCAGTGGAGAGCAGTAGAATTGAAGGTGGTGAGACATGTTTAAAGTTTTAATCTATCTATACTATGAAATGGACTGGCTATTGTGTCCTCCTATCAAATTTATACATTGAAACCTTAATCCCAGCATGATAGTAATTGGAGGTAGAATCTATAGACATGAGGATGGAATTCTCATGAATGAAATCAGTTCCCTTTAGGCAGAGCACACAGTGGTGGCTAGTGGTCTTCCCACCATCTGATGATCAAATAATAAGTCAGAAGTTTTTAACTAGGATGAGTCCTTGTCAGAACTCCATCTTGCTGGCAGCCTGATCTGGGATTCCCAACCACTAACACAGTAAGAAATAAATGTCTGCTGTTTGAGCTACCAAGTTTATGGTGCTTTACTATAGACAGCTTATGCCAGGATAGATAGTAAAGCCAACAGGATTTGCTAATGGGGTGAAAGTCGTGTGGAGGAGAAAGACAAGATTCAAGAACGATGTTAATGTGTGGTAGTCCAGATGTCCATAGAAGAGAGCTGTAAGCATCCATTATGAGCTTAAACTTGAAGTCTCTCTTCACTTACAGAAGAAAGACTGAAGTGAAATGGAATGTACCCAAAAGGTTCATATGTTAAGGACTAGACCACAGCCTCAGAAGGTGGTAGAACCTATGGGAAGTGAGATCTACAGAAAGAAATTAAGTCCCTGGGATGTGTTCTTGGATGGGATACTGGGACTTAAAGCTCTGCGCTGTGTCAATCACCAAGTGAACACTCCTCCTTTGTCACACGCTTTGGTCATGATGCACTTTTCTGCTATAGTTTCAATGCAAGAAAGCCAACTACTTCCTTTAAGGTGTTTATTTCAGGCATTTTGTCATAGCAATGAAAATCTGACAACTCAATGGGGGTGCAAAACAGATTAAGTGGAAGGGACTCAAGGGTCATTGTGTGTGTGTGTGTGTGTGTGTGTGTGTGTGTGTGTGTGTGTGTGTGTGTGTGTGTGCTGCTTCTGAGGGTTGAACTCAGGGCTTAGACATTGTCTTTGAGATTTGTGCTTAAAGTTAGCATTCTACCATTTGAACCACAGTTCCACTTACAACTTTTGGCAACTAAAATTTTTATAGACTTTCTTACCTGGGCTAGTTATGAACTACAGTCTTCAGATCTTGGCCTACTGAATAATTAGGATTGCATGTGTGAGCCACATGCACTTAACCTTCAAGGCCTACTTTTAATTTTTTGGTAGTTCTGGGGTTTGGACTCAGGGTTTCATGCTTGCTATGCTGAGCCAAGCCTCCAACCCTGTTATTACTTCTTATCTTATCACCTGAGCCATGATCCACTTACTTGGGGCTTCTCATCAGAGCTGGGATCACAGCCGCATGCCACCACATCTAATTTCCCTTCTGTGAAGAAAACCCAGCAACTAAGATGACCTTGAGCCACCATTCAATGAAAATTTATTTTCAATGAATGGTTACCTGGAAAATTTTGCTTCTTCCAAATTTGAAGCAATAAATACTTGAAAATGATTACAGATAATGTAAAAAGGTTTTTAATATCTGCTTCTCCAATGCTTATGGACAAAATTTGAATCAAGCCACAGGAAATATAGCATGAAAATTTATGGTGTAAAAAGCTTAAACATGCTAAACGTTAGTGGCACAGTACTAGTCTAGTATGTCTGAGGCCCTAGGTTTCATTATTAACACTGAAATTAAAAAAAAAAAAATTAAGAAGACATTCAAGTTTTCTTCTTACAAAGTATGCATTGAGACTTGTAACCCCATCAACGGACCCATTCCAGTATTTCTTTTTTTTTCTTCTTTTTCTTTTTGTTGGTCATGAGGCTTGAACTCTTGGGCTAGGTGCTGTCCCTCAGCTCTTCAGCTCAAGGCAAGTGCTCTACCACTTGAGCCACAATGCCACTTTCCGTTTTCTGGTGGTTAATTGGAGATGAGTCTCACAGACTTTCCTGCCTAGGCTGGCTTTGAACCATGATCCTCATATCTCAGCCTCCTGAGTAGCCAGGATTACAGGCTTGAGCCAACTGTGCCCAGCCCATTCCAGTATTTCTTTCTTTCTTTCTTTTTTTAAAATTTTATTGTGAAAATATTGTACAGAGGGTTACAATTACATGGGCAAGGTAATGAGTACATTTCTTATCAAGCATTGTTGCCTCCTCCTTTGTTTCCCCTTCATCTTTCCCTCCTCCACCCCTCCCGCCAAAGTTGTAAAGTTCATTTTTTGACATAATGACTTGTACATCTCATTGTTGCAATGGGTCCACCTGTATCCCTATTTAAATGATTTGTTTTTTCCCTTCCCTTCCACAAATTATACCAACATCAAATACAGTGAAAACAAGGGATATACCATGAGGGAGGGACATACAAAGCAACAAAAAAAATCATCTTATAAATATGTTAAAAACAATAGCAAGAAAGAAAAACCACTTGAGTCCTTATTTTGGGGTTCATTTCGCCTAACATCAACTTATCTGACCTTTTCTGCTTGTCTCAAATATATACTAGTTATTCCAAATAAGGGAAACCATGGGACCTATGTTTCTTTGGGCCTGGCTTACTTCACTTAATATATTTTTTTCCAAGTCTTTCCATTTCCTAACAAATGGGGCAATGTCATTCTTTCTGATGGAGGCATAGAATTCCATTGTGTGTATATACCACATTTTCTTGATCCAGTATTTCTTAACCTATGTCATGAAAATCTTCTCTAAAACCAAGATTGGGAGTATTTGGTTACAAAGCAATGTGAGAATGATCATAAACCACATATGTGTAATGGTAAGTATGTCACATTTAGAGCCACAAAGATCTGATCAAATTACCTATCTTTTTTTTTTAATTGTGAAAATACTGTACAGAGGGGTTACAATTACATGGGCAAGATAATGAGTACATTTCTTATCAAGCATTGTAGCCTCCTCCTTTGTTTCCCCTTCCCATCGCATCCTCCCCTCGCCCCCCCCCACCCAACCCTCTCCCCCCCCCCCACCAAAGTTGTAAAGTTCGTTTTCGACATAACAACTTGTACATCTCATTGTTGCAATGGGTCCACCTGTATCCCTATTTAAACGATTTGTTTTTCAAATTACCTATCTTGAACAAACTCTGTTTTCTAGTTTTCTTAACCTTTTAAATTTAAACCATAGAAATAATCATAAAATTTTAAATCATAAAGTCATAATAAAAATTCCTGACTTACCTTCCATACAAGTATATAAAAATTGAACTAAACTGGATAATATGTATATGACTGCTTTGTGAACCATAAAGTGTTTTACAAATGTGAGTTAGTATTCCATATATTCTGTATTGGGGGAGGTGTTCATGAGTATGTATGCTAAATATTTGGGACACTGTACTTGTTAATACAATCTTTTAATCTCTTTGGGGATGACAACTAAATATTAACTTCTAAAACCTTGCCGTGACTTGTCTTCATTCATTAGCCCTTCTGGAAAGGAGTTGACAGAGGGATTAAAATTGAAACAAAAAACAGAGCCTTCTCTTAGCATTTCTGTTTAATGATACCCTGGGAAAATGGAAGGATGTGGCTAATTTTGGTTTGATTGATCAAAAAATTCAACTGGACTAGAAAAATATGTATTTGAATTGAGAGAAAAACCAGCATGTCCCCACTTTCTTTCTCTTATTCTGCATTATCAAAACCTTCACAGACTCAGTCTATTATTTATAATAATGAACCTTCCCCTTTCAGTTAAACCAGAGTGATCTGCCACTTTTTGCCATCAGCTTCCTGAATCTTTTCTCCACAGTGTAAAATTCCAAGCCCACTAAATGAAAAGGGAGAAAGGGACATACTTTTAAAAAGATTTCCAAAATGTTATACTTTTGAGTTCTACCGTTTGTGAATCACTTTTACATGTGTCCGAGGAAGAGATTGGAGAATACTTGAAGGTTCACACTTACTTTCCCGTTAGAAGCTCATACACCAGGATTCCCAGGGACCAAAAATCGACACTGAAGTCATGTCCTTTGTTGAGAATGACCTCAGGAGCTACATACTCTGGAGTTCCACAGAATGTCCATGTTTTCTGTCCAGAACCTATTTTCTTAGCAAATCCAAAGTCAACCTGGAAAAATATTGCCAAAAAATGTCAGTGATTGTTAAACCTATTACTGTTATTATTATTGTTGTTACTGTTATTATTATTATTTTTTGTTGGTCTTGCAGCCTCAGGACTCACAGCGCTGTCCCTGAACTTCTTTTGCTGAAAGATAGTGCTCTACCTTGAGCCACAGTGCCTCTTCCAGCATTTTCTGAGTAGTTTAGTAAAGCTAAGACCCTCTCAGACTTTTTGACCCTGGCTGGCTTTGAACTGTGATCTTGAGATCTCACCTCCTGAGGAGCTAGGATTACATGCTGTGCATGTACATTTTAATAGTTTTGGTATGCGTAGACTATTTCAATAATAGAGCAACAATCTTGAATTTAAATTAAAGCTAACACATTGGAAAAATCACCTAAATGTTAAGAGTGAGTGAAGTAGAAAATCCACCATTTTTTTGGTTCAAATACTAATACTGAAATCTTTTTTTTAACCTTAAATGAATCTCTTGGGAACCTGACATTTTATTCGTACTTTGTAGTATTTATCACATAATGACAAAGATTTGCTTCCTAGGGGAAAAAAAGCATCTAAATAACCTAATTCAAAGTAGGCTTTTACTATTTTTTTCATACTCAGTTTGAATCACAAAATCTATATCTAAGAGGTGGCTGGGAGACATTATGAGATTAAAATTTGTAACCAGCTGAGATTAGCACATGTACTATTCCTTAGAGAAAGAGCCAATATGAAAATCCTAGCTAATATATAAAGATTGAAATTTAAGAGACAAGGAGGCAATGCTTATAACTACACTTGTATGCACTAGTGTATGGGAATGTTGTATTTTGTTGGTTTATTACTGGCTCTCATTTCATCTTTAATTGCACTTAATTTTCCTCTTAAGAAGTTCATTAGCTATTTAGAAGAGTTTTTCCTACTTTTTAAAAGCAGTGAATTTTAATTTGAATTGCCGATTTCCTCTTGTAATATTTGCATAGTGGTCCACAGAGATCAAAATTTTAGAATGTATAGAAGCAGATGATTTTCTTTATTTCCTTTGATCCTAAAAAAAAAACAAAACCAGACCTATCCAAATTGTTGTTCCTAATACAGAAGACCCTGGATCTTCTCTATCAATTCCTGTGCATTTTCTATTAAAATCATACCATCTCTGATATCAATATGGACCATCACAATGCCTTGGTCTTTTCTTTTCTCCACCCATTCTAGGTAACAGAAAGGTAAGTTCCTTCATTTATTCATTCATTCAGGAATTATTTGTTGAATAACACTACATGGAAAGCATCTGGACTAAAAGACAGCCCAAGTTCCAATAAATCTGATTGAACAGAAAAGATCAGTATTAAACATAGAAATGTATCGTCAATCATGATAATATAATACCACATAGTAGCTTATGCTATGAGGAAAGAAACAGCAGCGCTACGTCCATGAACAATATGAATCGCCCTTGTAAAAGTGACCAGGAGGAAAGCTCACCAGGGAAGTAGTACTTGGATAAATTTGAGTGGAAAGCGGAATGAAATAAGGGAGCAGCGATCTGTAAGTATCTGGGTAAGAGTGACATTGCCAAGAGTTAGAGCTGGCGCAAACGCCTTGAGGTGAAAATATGCTTGCTAAATTCACAGCTTGGCAAGAAGATCAGTATGGCTGCCCCATAATGTGGAGAAAAGCAGGAAGTGAGGGCAGACTCTGGAGAGCATATGAAAACCACAGGAAAAACTTTGAAGTGTTCTTCTAAGAAGTCATCATAAGATTAAGAAAAAGAGTATGATGGCATGGTCTGACTTACGTATTACAGGGATCAAAGGGGAAAGAAAGCAGATCTCACTCCTTTTATGTTCTCAAAATCCACTAGTAAAGCAATTTCTTTAAGAAGGAGCATCTCAAACTAAGATCTAGAGTATACAAGTTTCCTTTGTCAGTATTAATTTTCTATTATTAAACATGGCTCACATTAAGGTAAATTTTTTAAAATATTAAGTCTCTACTGCCTGCAGTAAGCTTGATGGTTTTAAGATACTTTCAAATCTTCAGCCATGATTTGCATCATTTAGAAACAGACAAATTATCATTGTGGCTTGCTGGAGCTTGTGTCTGGTAAGTATGAGCTTTTTCCCAGAAGTTTCTCTCTGGGTCAGTAAATTTGTCAGATACTGGTTCTCTCAGTCACATAAAAATGGAAACGAAATGACCAGTCTAATTAAGCCAGATGATTCATGAAAACATAACATTCTGAAAAAATATTTATGTGGCATTTTTAGGACATTTTCTTTACCCAAGTCTAGACAAGGGTAAAATGGAATCTGTTTATCCTGCCTGCCAACACCCGAAGTTAATTTAATGTCCTTCTGATACTAATGCCCTTCCTCTAAACAGCCAACAATGATGTTTTACACTAAGTATCAGTGAGAGACAGAGACAGAGACCAAAACAGAGCCAGAGAGGGAGACAGAAAAAAGAGAGAAAGACTCAGACAGGCAGACAAAGACACAGAGACATAGAGATAAGTACAGAGAAAGAGACAGACTAAGGTGTAGTGGATACTCTGTTATTACAAGAGCCCATTCTTTGTCACGCTATGGTGATGCAGCTGAAATATTCAGTCTTTGATTGAAGTACTCTGGCAAGATAAAGGGAAGTTTTGTATGCATAAGAGCAAATCATAAAACTCTTAAGTCTCATATCATCATCTCCTTGAAGCCCACCTCGAATTACAGAACCTACTTTTCCCTCCTACAAAATTCCCCAACACAATTTACATTCCATGGTTACATTTCTGGTAGCAGCAGTATCTACTTGGGTTTGAATAAACCTAGATTCTTGAGTAGAGGTGAATGCAGTTTTATACTACTTATAACATGGCAGATTTTCAACTCATGTTTGTTGAAAAAATGAAGCAATAACTGTTAATATCATTTCAATAAGATATAAATATCGCTAACTGCATTTCAATTACATAGCTAATTTGTCTACCAATAGAATATGGTTGGAATCAATGTTTCATTTTCATGTCTAAAGTTGAGAAATGTGTGACACACACATATATAAATATATAATACAAATAGGAATTACAAAGCACAGCATAAAACAACCTCATGCCGCCACCTGCTAAATAGCTAGAAGATAACAAAGAGAGAACCCTATTGGATGACTCCCAGTGTCTTCCTGCTTGTTGCTAAGGGTGCACCAGTGCTCAGGAATTTGCTTGAGTTGATTTCACCACATATCTAACATCTCCAAATATTATGTAACTTTCAGTCATTAAATCAGACTTATCTTGGGGAAAATGAGATTTTTTTTGTCCAAAATTACATTTAGGAATTTAATGTACACTGATACATTTATTTTCACTGCTTTACCATAATACCATGAATTAATACACCATGATTTTTTGCCCATTCTGCTGATGATGGACATTTACATTATTACTCATTTTGTATTACTACAGAAATACTTCTATAGAACTAATTTCTCATATTATCTAGTGGATAGGTGTAAGGAACTAGGAATACTGTGTCAATGTAGTATCTTATTAGATATTGTCCAACTTCTTTGCAAAGGGATTGGACTGTCACCAACTCCTTTACAGGAAGTATGTAAGAGCTCTTGTCCTGCCCACTCATCATCTTTTTTTGGGGGGGGGCAGTCGTGGCTCTGAGCTCTGGGCCTGGGCACTGTCCCTCAGCTCTTCAGCTCAAGGCTAGCGCTCTACCACTTGAGCCCCAGCGCCACTTCTGGCTTTTTTCTTTGTGCTTATATGGTGCTGAGGAATCGAACCCAGGGCCTCAGGCATGCAAGGCAAGTGCTCTATCACTGAGCCACCTTCCCATCCCATCATCATCATTTTTTAATACAAACTTTTTACTTTTTGATATTTATGAATGTAAAATCACAGTAGTTTTAACTAAGATTTTTCAACTAGGAATTAGTTTGAATGGTAGCATTCTAATTAACTTGCATATCTGAGAAAGCAATCTTTTTCCATGCTGCTCTTCTTGTTTGTCTTCATTAATGTCTTGGCTATTCTAAATCCTGGGTTATTCTACAGAAATTGAAGAATCAGCATGCCAAGTTCTATGAAAAGCTCTACTGGAACTGTGTCCAAGTAGATCAAAGCATCAATAACTATAGGATGTTCCATCTTTATATTTTTAAACATGGTGCATGTGTCTGAGTTAAAGTAAATAATTTTAGAGTAAATATTTCCAAGAAGGTTCAAAAGAGGACATTCTACATTAACTTACTTCTCCCACCGATAGTGAGTTTTCCTGAACAGCAAGTGGATTTTAGGGATGTAGGCTCCATTGAATTTAGAGCTCTGGCAACAAGCCAGAATGAATGCATAGGAATATATGGCACAGAAGTTTTAAAGACCAGATCACTTACTGGTACGGACCACTTTTGCCAACATTTCACCAGCTAGAATTATAGCAGAACTACCCAGAAAGAGAGATAAGACAGGTTGGCTAACTCGGCATAGCAGAGAGAATGTCCCATATCACCTATCAATTTAGGTCTTTTAAATATGTTTCTACACATTTCCATAAGGTTATCAATAAAGCTGTTATACATCTTGTTAGACTTAGTCATAGATACATTATATACTCATGTTTGTTGTTGTTGTTGGTTGTGAGGCTTGATCTCAGGGCCTGGGCACTGTTGTTGAGCTTTATGCTCAAGGCTAGCACTCTACCACTTTGAGCCACAGAACCACTTCTGGTTTTCTGGTGGTTAATTGGAAACAAGAGTCTCATGGATTTTCCTGCTCAAGCTGGCTTTGAACCATGATCCTCAGATCTCAGCCTCTTGAGTAGCTAGGATTATAGGCATGAGCCACTGGCGCCCAAAAGCATATTCCTGCTTTTGGTAATGGTATTTATATTTCTATTTGAATTGTGTTTCTGGAATTTAAAATATACTCGGTTCATATATTCATAATCTTACATCCCTCTACCATATTATAAATATTCTAATTAAAATATTTCTTTTTGCATTTT